ACTACTTGCAGGCTCAAGATCACTTACTAGGCGTTGTGGTGAAGACACCTTTCTCTAACAACAATCAATATATAGCTGTAGTTCCGACTCTAGAATTTCCTTCAACTCTGGAAACTTCGTCAGATGCAAGCAACAGGAAAGATCAATTTGTAAAGCTCAAGATCACTACTTGCAGGCTCAAGATCACTTATTGCTTTGGATGTTTGGGATCTAAAATATGTGATTTTGATTTTCTATATATTTTGAACCATCTATTAATATTATTTTATATATATGAATGTGGATTATATAAGGGGTATTTAGTAATTTTAATTTTATTTATTTCAGCAGTGTAATTTTAAAACCAAATAAATTAGATTTGCTAGAAATTTTTTTAGCAACAAATATAGCATCTATTGGGTTGTTGCTAGATAAAGGAATGATAGCGATAGACTAGCAACGAACTTTTTAGTGCCAAATGTGCTGGTTTAAACGACGGAATATGTTGCGACGGATTAGTGATGAAAATTTCGTTACGAATTTATCAAAAATGACGGAATGAATTAAGAAATCAGCAACGAATAGTATAAATATAACGTCGGATTAGTCCATCGCTAACAAGTGGTGACGGATATCATTCGTTGCTAAAACGTTGCTAAACTTGTGACGGAACTCATTTTTCGTCACTAAGAGATTACTAACGAGCGAAATAGTAACAGTCAAAAATCCGTTGCTAATCCGTTGCTAATTCTATTTAGCGACGGAATATCATAGATTAGCGACGGATTTCGTCCGTCGGTAAACACTGATTTTTTTGTAGTGAATGATGGTTGTTGTGGTAATGGTAGTTGGTGGTGATGATTGTGAATGGTGGCTAGTGGTGGTGATGACTGATTGTAATGATTGACAGTGACGCTAGTTGTGGGTGGTGGACAGTTAGTAGTTGATAATGGTAGGCGACGACAACGATTGTGGTGAACGAATAGAATTAATGAACTATCATTTTTGTAAAAATCCTTGAATATACATCTTAATGATATTAAAACTTTGTTACATATCTTAATCAGTCAGATCTATTCAACACACATTAAGTGATTATAATGGTTAAAGGTCAGAATGATTATGATTCAGACCTAAAACACAAATGGACTTAATGACTGAGATCCGTATGATTAATAAGATTAAAACCTTCATTGAGTGCAAATAAACGAGGTCTTAGTATATATTCAGAGTTATTCATACGCTTATCGTTAGGGGTGTACAAGTCAAATTGTAAAGTCAAACCGAACCGATGAACCAAATCAAACCAAAAAGAAAAACCGATTTGTGGTTTGGTTTGGTGGTTGAAAAAAAAAACCGACTACTCTTGGTTTGGTTTGGTATTAAAAGAAAAAAAGTTAGACCGAACCCAAACCAAACCGACTATATAAATATATATATAATTTTATTTTATTTATAGATAAAAAAATATTATTTATAATCTACTTTGTTAATATAATTTTAATTAGTTTATAGTTTTCAATGTTTATATATTTTATTTCAAATTTGGGCTTGTAAAATTTGTAAATATTTTATTTTGTACTAAGATCCAAAGTTACAATTATATTGTTATAGTTTTTCATATTCGAAGTTAACAATTTACTTTGTAAATATTTTGTTTTCTATTCAATTTGCCTCTAGCCTTTAATCTTATTAATTTAACATAATGAACGTTGATATTTCAAAAATAATAATTTGTACTCATGTGAATTTTATCATCTTTTTGAAAAAATTTATTCATTTAACATTTTTTAAGTTTAGCTTATCACACAGGTAAGTGAAAATATATTTGATCTCTTTTTCAAATACCGTATAGTTGTAAAAAACCGAAAAAACCGAAAAATCGAAAAAACCCGAAAAAACCGAAAAAAACCGAAAAAACCGACTTTATATGATTTGATTTGATTTTTAGATTTAATAAACCGACATAATTGGTTTAGGTTTTTTTAATTGAAAAACCAAACCAAACCGACCTATGTACACCCCTACTTATCGTTATGCTTCATGCTCTTTGCCAAATGTGTAATTGTAGGTACTTCATGGTTGGTGTGGTTCATCTCCCTTGCTATGGTATGTTTGCCTTGGTGATAGCATTGAAGTGTTGGTTAGCAAGATTGTTCAAATGGATAATTAGAAAGTTATCTGGAGACAAACATTGAGTTCAAATACCATTAAAAAAGTAGAAAAACATTATTACACACTAGTAATTCTTAAACCAAAATGTCTTTTTTTCTTTTAAATTCTTAATGTTGCTCAGATAAATGAGCTGAGCAGCACAAGCTATTCTATTTATACTTTTTACCTTCATCCTAGGTTCGAGATCATCATGTATATATATAAAACAAATTCTTTTATATCCTCGAAACCAAACGAAACTAGAAAGAAAATGGGAATTGCTCCTCTTTACTTGCAGAACCAATTATTTGAGTCTGCTTTGAAATATTGATGTTGTTGCTGTCTCACTCTCTTGTATAATCACTCATTGAAGTGAAATTCGCTTCAGCATCATCAACAGACTCGGAAGAAATGGAAAAAGATTTTATTCCCACATTCTTGAATCTCCTTTGTATATCCTTTTCATATTTGGTATGTTCTACTTGAGTTGAGTCGAGGGTCTATCGAAAACAACCTCAGTAAGGTTAAGGTTGCACATACACCACCCTCTCCAAATTCCAGTATGTAATTGTTGTTTTGTATTCTTGAATCTCCATGAGTAACTACCTTCATATTGTCTACTATTTTCAGCTTGTGTTGCAAACCACTAAAGTCTATTCCAAGGGGAAAATATGTGAAGCCTCTTTTAGTCTTTTAGCAAAGATTAAAAAGGTATTAAAACATATATGTATCATTTAATTTAGCATGAACTACATTTGAACTTATTTGAGATTAAATAAGTAGACACATTTCGAGCCTTGAAAATGAATGAGATTTTAGTGGCCTTTAACAGACATTACAATGCAAAATTCAAATAGTCAAAAACTCTAAAGTGAATATTGAATATTGAGTGGGAAACAAAAAAGACACAACATTCAAAAATTCTAAATATTCTTCTACACTATGGAGATATTAAGTATCCAATAGAATAATCGAGGTGTAAACAAACAAAGAGTCCTACAACAATAACAAGATAAGTGTTCAATTGTCAAGAAATATTATCTTCACAAATCGCTCATCAATACATCGATGAAGCATGCAAATCTTTGCAGAAGTGATGCACTCTTTGGAACTCATTATCCACCAAGTTTCGAACTATATGCCAAGTGTTAGAGCATTTCTTGGTTATTTAAGAAAAGTGCTACTTGACATTTCCAGTAGTTCAAACACATCAGAAACACAGAGAAGAAAAATTATGCATAGGAAAGTCCTTTGCCATGAAAAGCAGCCAGCACAAAAATAAAGAGAAGTAATCAAATCAAATGACAAGATATTCTAGGCACAACAAACATAATGTTTAGGTGGGGATTGCCAATAGAACAGAAAGAAACTCTTCAAATTCCTATCCCTACTTTGAATATGTTTTCCAAGTTGATGTTTTATCTCCGTCTTTCTAATACTCCCTCCGTTTCAAAAAGAGTGGTCTAGTTTGACTTGACACGGAGTTTAAGAAAATGAAGAAGTCTTTTGAATCTTGTGGTCCTAAATTAAAGGTATGTCAAATATACAAAATTGTCCTTTAATCTTATGGTCTTAAACATGCCACGTGGAAAGCTGAAAGTAAAATGTTACCAAAAAAAGAAAGAGGTCATTCTTTTTTAAACAAACTGAAAAGGAAAGGGGGTCATTCTTTTTTTAAATGAAGGGAGTAGTATTTTCAGCTTCCCGGACCAAAAATAAAAGAGAAGAAAAGAAATAATTAAAAAGGGGCTCCTGTTTGTTTGAAATACGGTAATCAAGGTTTCACATTCTCCCTAATGAACTTCTCCAGCTGAGAAATTTCACCAGTCAGACCAGAAGCTTCAGCAACAATTACTCTGTTATGGCATTGAGAAAAAGCAAATGGTTCTCCAGGTACACCAAGCGTATATTCATTAGAGATATGTGCATCAGATACGACAGTTCTTGATGTACGAAGTTTGTAGCTGGATCAATAAGAAAACAAACAAGTTATAAAGCAGAACACAAGAAACAGGACTTCAGTTTTTAAGTTTTTGCAGTGGTTATGATTCAGTGAGCCTCCAAGTATATTAGCAAATAAAGCATGCAACAAGATTTCATGTTTGGGAAGGTTCTCTAGGCATAAGCTTGTTGCTGAATTAATAATATTACCAACAATTTATAAAGGGTGTTGTTGTTCATTACCAAAAGGAGAACAAAGCATGCAACACAGTATTCCATCGTGGTGAGGTAAATTTCAACTCTTCAGAAGGCAATTCTGCCTTTTTATGTTTTCGGATCAGAGTTATGTTTACACACACATAAGATATATGTATGTATACAAAAGGCAAATTGGTGTTTGCTCCAAAATAAATACATGCATAGTGTACTCTTACGTCTTTCTCCAGCTGTTTTCTGATGAATTCTGTTGTATGTGCAGTTACCTTGTTGCAAAGGAGGAGTACTGGAACTTTTTTCTTGACCACACTTGCCTTTGTCAAGATCGCATACAAGTACCTACCTTCATGCAAGAGGGATTAAACAATGTAAAATTCAGTTGTCAGATATCCAATGCAAATAAACAACTGCCAATGTAAACTATAAGCAGTAAATGATCAGTACTCTGAAGCAGGACGGCAGTTTGGTAAAAATTCCACGGAATCCACCACAAACACAACGCCAGCTGCTTGAGGCAAAATCTCATCTAGTTTCGGCCGAAGACGAGAGTGCCCTTGGACATTAACAACAAGAACAGGCTTCAATTTCCCTTTCTGCAGCAAAAACCAAAACAAGTCATACGTAATGTGAAAACCCCATTCACATATAAAGGAATTGAGTAAATCAATAACCAAAAAAAAAACTGATAGACCATCAGCAATTAATTGTTAGCATGATAGACAACTAAATGATTGTATATATTAATGTAATTATATAGTGATATAAATTAGCATGATCATATACATTTGTTGTAGAATCATATGAATAAATATTGTGATAGAATAGCTGATTTGGAGGGATAGCAAGGCAGATTTAGAGGGATTCAATGGCAGATTTGTATAGATAGAATAGATGATCTTTAGGGATAGGAATGGCGGATCTTTAGGGATGTGTAATCTTTATTTTCTCTATATAATGGAAAGACTCTCTCACTTTGAGAGACATTCAGCTGAAAATTGACA